AGTGAACCAATCTGTCATTCCGGTTTGGTCCATTTCCAGTACATGTGTTTGCTGGGAAGAGAGCCTTAAGGTGTCAACGGTCTTTCTGCTGTCACTTTCTGGAATCTTGAAGTGGCTTCATAAATGAGTTTCAGCTGTGGGTAGTTTCTCCATCGGCACTTCAGACAAAGCAAAGAAAAAATGTTTAATGTAAGTGATGCAGTGCATCAGCAATGTTCTAGCAGAGTGAAAAAAACAATAACTTCGCTTTCAGTGTCCCTCTGCCGAGGAACAGGGGAAGTATTCAACTTGCCGATATCCTGATGTGGCTTGCTTATTAAGTCACTTCACAATATCAGAAATTGACAGTGGAAGAAGCCAGACTAAATATGATCGCTTGAGGTCCATATGCCATTTAGATGCCAAAAATGCATCAAATGCCAAATTAAACCTCCTAGTGACCTTATTTAGTCCACTTCATTTTGCCCCGTCCCAGCCTTGTAGACAAGCCCTTTGATTCCCATCATCTTCCTTTGAGCATTCCATTCCACATTGGAGGTTTGAGTCAACCAAGACTTCAGCATTTTTGCATATATCCAAAGCTTCTCCAAGATGCATCTTTATCAAAAGCAACATGATGCTGCTAGGTTTTAGCCGAACAGATTTCACGTGGGAGATGATTAAACTGCTGAGCAGGCTTGTTCCTGGATGACACCTGATAAGCATCTTTTAACCGCTTCATTTTATTGCCAGGATAGAGATACTAATTGCCTGTGGTCAGTAACACGCTGGCCACTTCCTGCATGCAGTTTTATTCCATCACCATCTCCTTCAACCACCCATAAATACAATCTTGCAGCCCATGCATTGAATCACGTGGGTCGCAACCTATGAAAGCTTGTGTGACATATCGGAGCACTTTCCCCTGAGAATATCTACCTGTCCAACCTGCCCCTCTCAGGCCTTGTTATGGAGGGTGTCCACCCCAAGGGAAATAAAGAAGACCACCATTCGAAATCGGGTTTTTTTCAACGGCGGTACCCTTTTAATGGAATAAGCTTTCACTAGAGATCAGGCACGTTTCCTCCCTACTGTCTTTTCAAAACTGACTGAAGACTGAGCTGTTCAGAGAGGCCTTGGGCAACAATTGATCATCATCATCACCATCATCTTTGAACAACAGAACTGGAAGGGACCTTACAAAGGCCCAGTGGGGAATCGAACCCCCAACCTCTGCCTTCATGCCTCAATCCCTGAGCTATCCAGCAGCTCATGCTTTATTCTGCGACCTGTTCTTGGATGTCGTCTTTTGGATTGAAGCTTTATCGTATTTTAAATTTGTTGTATTGGGTTATATTTAGTTTCTTCTGATTATTCTAAATGGTTTGCTGTTATGTTGCTGGTGTCAGCCAGTGGTCACCTTTCTGTTAATCTGACTGTATGGTTGGTATGTGTGTGTGTTTATTTCCCCCTGCCCTTCTTTTTTGTTGATAGTACAGCATATGTATATTTTGTTAACATAACCGTGATCTCACGAAGCGGCAGAGTCTGGAAGCTTTGTAGAGGCGACCCACTTTTCAGCCGAGGGAGAGCACGGATGGGAAAGGAAGGGCACCGGTGAGAGTGTTCATCTGTAATATACCAGAGCATGATTAGATTATCTCTCAGCACGAGATGATTCATCCAGCGGTAGGTAGTGCCGGAGCTGACTGGAAGCACATGTTGCTGCCTGGTTCCCCTGCAGCTCTGCCCTCTGCGCCAGAGGACGGGCGCACTCTGACCGCATCTGGGCATGCGATCATGGGCCGATCCTGCTCCCAGGGCATCTCCAGGATCCTAACCTTGCCTGGTAGCATCCCCTCCCACAGCTGGCACATAAGGCGATCAACAGGAGATCAAACGGCGGCCTTCCTGTGTGGATCGGAGGTGCTGTTGATGAGACAAGGAAATTAAAGTCCATTAAATTGTCCCCCCCCCCGGCTGATGTGCATTTACAGCCCCCATTTTGAAACTCACTTTTAACGAAGAGGACTGGCATGGACATCAAGGCAGGGTTTCTGGAGCTTTCGTGCTTCTTTCCCGCACCCTCCCTAGCCTCGTGGCTCTGAGCTTGACGGGTTGAAATTGAGAGCTAGGATCCGTTTATTATTTTTGTAGTGGTCTAATAAAGGTATCATGACTAGAGAAGAACTACAAAACATTAATAATGACACATAACAGCAAGAACAAGAAAGGTATTGGGAGGCTTGGTATAGAGTGATGGATTGGGTCCATCGCAGACCCAGGAGGCCTGGGTTCAAATCCATACTCAGCTACGGAAGGTCACCTTCCTTCCCTCCAAAGCCCTATTTGGTTTCACTATAACTCAGTTCTCACTTGATGGCACATCAGGCCACCGTAAAGGGATCACCCATTCTTGTGTTCAGATCAGCTGCCCTCTGGCCATCTGGCTGGCTCTTCCCACCCAGTCCAGAAATTCTGCACGGTCTTTTCATGTTGGCTGGCGTAAACTGGAGGCCACGACGTGCTGAGTGGTTTTCTTCCCATGTGCCCATCGCTGGGGGTGGCTCTCCTGCCATTTTGGGATTCCCTGAGATGGCAGGACCAAGTATATCCACAGATACACACACACACCCCGCAGAGGGTGGCGGTGATGCCATTCAGAGGACCCGCGTGAGGAATAAGAGGAGGGTCGGAAGCGAGTCAACGCCAGCGCGTGGGAGGCGACAGCAAAAGATCAGAGCTGTTAGTCATTCAACCGCAGCGTCACCTTCTCTATTTTCAGAACTTCCCCCAGGATGTGGTTCCCCTCCCCAAGGTTCAGAGAGTTGCACAACACATCATTGAATGGTTTCCCCACCCCCACCCCCATCAGCTGCACAAAAGGGGCAGGAAGAAGACAGACCCTTCCCTAAGCAGGTGCAGAAGTGGGCTTGGCGGCCACTTCCGGTGCTTTTCTCTCTGTGCATCTCTCTGGGGTTTCAAGACGGGTTGAACCAAAGCAGCCCGCCACCAAAGCGCTGGAGGAAGAACCCAGCGCAAGCAGGGTTGAGGGAACAGAAGAATCTTATTAATTTTTTTACACCAGAGCAACGCAACCGGGGTAAATATTGGCAGCAAACTGCCACCAAGTTTAAAAGTCCCTGAGGGCATTTGATTCTGCTAACGGAGATGTGGCGTTTCGGCACGCGGCCGCCGATGCTTACCCTGGCTGCTCCACTCGTGGGAATGGGTTGCCTAGATTGGCCCTGACTGAGTTATGCCAGCGGGTGCAATTCATGGCATTCTGGCCAACGAAACCATACATGTTCCAGAGTGGCTTCGAAAAAACATTGTGGAGCATCTGAATCTTGCATGCTGTCTGAAAAAGGTGTGGCTCAGAGGGATCTGTCTGTCAATCTATCCAGCACTAACCAATGGTTCCCTCCGTCTTCTGAATTCAAAGAGAGTCCCGCCTCTCCCCTGGAAAAGGTGTGGCTCAGAGGGACCTGTCTGGGCTAGACTGACTGTCAATCTATCCAGCACTAACCAATGGTTCCCTCCATCCTCTGAATTCAAAGAGAGTCCCACCTCTCTGCTCAGTGCTCCTTTCCCTCTCTTGACTCTCTTAAAGTCGGTTGATGAAAGCAGTCACATTTGTCAGGTGGCTGCTGATCTGCAAGAAAATGAAAGCTTTTATTCTTCTTTGTACAAATATCTTAGAGTGGGTTACTGAGACTCTCTTAAAGTCTGTTGATGAAAGCAGTCATGTTTGTCAGGTGGCTGCTGATCTGCCAGAAAATGAAAGCTTTTATTCTTCTTCGTACAAATATCTTAGAGTGGGTTACTGAGACCACAAGTGCCAGTTCATGAGAAAAGCAGTGGTTGACTCTGGAGAACTGGAAGCTACTCTGCTCTTGCAAAACTCTGCAACAGGAGTAATGCTGCCGAGCACGCTCTTGAGAGATAGATCATCCTTCTGGCTTGGCCATATTCTCTCCCCACCACAGACACATTATTTTCCATCCAGACAATTCACTGGAATATCTTCCTCACATCAACTTCCTCTAAATAGCAGTTTATTTTTGGCCTCTATTCTTTTTAATAATGGCATGTTCTCTTCTCCCCACCCCCCACGTGTGCGCCCGATGTGTCCCTAGTAGCCTCCCAGCTTGTCTGGGCACCCCCCCCCCAAGAGAAATGTGTGATGATGTGTATATTGCCATGTCTCGATGGTAGCTAGCTACCCTTTGTGTCGGCTGTATGGCCTTAAGGGTTGGAGCAGGTTTGTTTATCAGCAAACTGTAAGAATCCAGGGAACCAATCTGACAGGCACACACCTACGCCTTGTGAGAAGTAAGCAGCAACCCGACAGACGCAGCTTCTCTTCTGCCTGCCTGGTTCAGATTTTGCCGAGTCGCCCGTATTCCGTGGCTCCCGTTCGACCCGATTTGTCATTGCAAATGGAACTGGAGAAGCTGAACACACCAGCGGCTGCCTCCCGGAGCTGGGCTGAGAAAGGTCTGGGTAGGGACACGCCAACGCCGCAGTTAGAACTCAAGCCAAGGGCAGAGCTGGCCAAGTCTGCCAGCTCCTCCACCCACTTTGGCTTGGGTGAGGTGGTGGCAGCAGGCCCTTGTGCTGGAGACAGGTGACGGACTGGCCTCATTCTGGGGAGCCGAGTGGGAGAGCCGACCTAGAGGAAGGCGAGGCCAGTGTGGGAAGCCAGACTCTGCTCAGCATGGAAGGAAGGAAGGAAGGAAGGAAGCAGGAGGGAGGGAGAGAGGGAGGAAGGTGATGATAGAGAGGTGGAAGGAAGGAAGTAAACAAATTAAATAACTAACCTACTAACCAACCAGCCAACCAATCAACCAGCCAACCAATCAACCAGCCAACCAACCAACTAACCAGCCAATCAACCAACCAACCAACCAACCAATCAACCAGCCAACCAACCAACCAACCAATCAACCAGCCAGCCAGCCAGCCAGCCAACCAACCAACCAACCAACCAACCAACCAACCAACCAACCAACCAACCAACCAACCAACCAACCAACCAACCAGGTGCTGGGAATCTTTTGCCAGGACTTGGGGGCAATGTCTGGAGCACATGGCTGAGGAGGAAATTAGTGGCAGTTCCAGCGCCCAGCCAGCCAGCAGGGTCCGTGTACGCCTTTCATCAAATTTCCACACATCTCCCTCTTCCAGGCATCCTGTGAAGCTCTTACAAAGAAGACCAGCGTTGAAGACCAAATAACAACAAGGGGGATCCTGATGATGACTGGGGGGTGGTGGCTGCTTTTTACTGAATTGGGCTAGTGCTCCATGTCGCTGTTCCAGATCTTGAAGGCCCCAGGTAGCTGCGATGGGGGACCGATCCGGTGTCCTTTGAGGCACGGACAGAGCAAGCTACTCCTGGTTTCCTCCGTGTCTGTCAGAAGGACCAATCCCCCACCCCACCCCCAGTGTCTCAAATATGGATGCCCAAGTGCAGCTCTCATCTGGATATCTGGCCGCTCTCCTTGGGTCCAGATGGAAAGCACAGGCAGGAAAGTACAGGAGGACCTCGGGTGGATGTCTCTGGCCCCAGAACACCCCATTCTGGGGGGGCGGAGAGTAACATAACAACCCTTCAAAAAAAAAATCACCACCCCACATGCACATAGACACACAAAGCATTTCCCCATCCTCACTTTGAGAGAAACACAGCAGCCCTTAATGTCATCATCATCATCTTAGAACTGCAGGGCCCTTAATGTCATCATCATCGTCATCATCATCTTAGAACTGCAGAGCTGGAAGGGACCGTATCAAGGAGCTGGACCTGATGATCTTGATGATGAAGATGATTTAGCATAACTAGTAGTTCACTGTGTATTCACACTTCACAGGGTTTTTATGGGGATTTTTTTGCCATGTTTATATTTTAACCTGTACTTTTTTTAAAAAAAAGGTAAACCTCAAAGTAATCACTAAGTGGTATCTTAGTCATCAATAATTCCACAAATCACAAGAAAGCACCTAGCAAGTAACCAATTACTTTTGAAGAAGTTACATTACCAGTGCTGCTTTCCATTCCCAAGTTGGGGGTAACGTGTGGTATGTCTGTCGGGGACATGTCATGTTCCCCTGGTCTCCAGGAATCCAATTTCTGCTCATGCACACGTGGGTGGGCGTAATTTAGTGCCTAAGCCATGTGCGTATAAATTGATGTGCATTAATTCAAAGGCACCATGGAGACCGCACAGCAGCTCTTGGCTGAGATATGGGGTGCCCATGGCCCGGACGCCGCCACTGTATGAATACGAGGGAGACCCAATGGTTGACACACTTGATGTGATCGAATGTGGGAATAGATTGCCGTGGGGTGGTCTGGAAGTCCCCCTGGCCCTCCGCCCGACCCCTGCCACACAGCAGGAAAAGGCATTGACAAATCCATCAATGGTCCCGGTAGAGCCCCAGGTCTGTTCTCCAGAAGGCTACGAATTCAAATCCTCCCCTCATGGGTGGAGTCAGGCTGGATCGTGCCAAGCCCGGCAGAGATCCAGCAGATACCTCTAGAAAGGCCACAAGGAGGGGAAGTAAGCATCACCTGATCAGGCCACCGTCTCTCCCGCCATGGGCAACATCTGCCCTGGGGTGCTGGCCAACCCCCCCAGGTCCTTTTCCTGCTCCTTCGTGAAACCCAAGTGAATACACTCCCTCCTTTCTGAATACAAAGCAAGTGGGTTAAACGCAGTTCAATCTGGCCCTTCAGTGCTGGCCGTCGGCAGACGGACCGATGACCCTGCCAAGGCCAGCTTAATTCCCCTGAGCCCAAAGGGATTACGGAGCTGAGCTCTCCCACCTCCTTCCTGTTTCCAAGGCATCCGCGGCAAGCTCAAGCCGGAGCAAAGCCGAGAGAAGGCCGCCCTCAAAGGACAAAGTGGGGCAAGGAAGCTAATACCCTACACACTCGTTCCACAGTGGGGAAAATAAGGGAATCATTAGCAAGCCGTTCCAGGCCAGGCTCTGCTGACCTTATTTTGGTCCCGTTCCTTTCTTGGGGCCCAACTAGAGAAGACACAGATTCCTTATTTAGCAGCAGTGCACCCTCAAGAGGAAAAGATGGTCTGCTGCCCTCTCTCCTCCCTGCACCGAAAAGCCCTCTTTGCACCCCCTGCATCAGCCACGGGACCAGCTGGGCCCTCCCTCTAAGCTCTCCTGGGGGTCAGCAGGGACCCCTCAACTCAAGTGCAGCTTTCCGGGGGTCAGAGGTGTGTGTGTGTCTGAGAGAGAGAGAGGGTGCCGTTCTGCCTTTACGGAGCACGAGAAGGCTGCTGGTTTGGGTCGTCTTGAAAAACGTTCTGCCTTTACGGAGCACGAGGAGGCTGCTGGTTTGGGTCGTCTTGAAAAAGCCGCAAACGGGTAGATTCCTTCACCTTCATCCACCTGACAATGGAGGGTCGCGTTCCCTCCTGGACCCTACAGTCCCATGTTGTCATACAACTGACAAAGAATTCATCCTACAAGATGTTAGGGTTCCGCCACCTTTGTGGCCTTTCTCTCGATCCCACCACCCCCACAGGTGCATCTGATGGGCACACCGGAGAGGAGGGTCTTCTCTGTGGCTGCTTCCAGCCTGTGGAACTCCCTCCCACTGGAAGCCAGGCTGGCCCCCTCTTTGGTGTCCACCCGCAAGCAGGCCAAGA